CAAGCACAAATTGACCTACATGTATATCGATTCTGGCCATGTTCCGGCCATGTCGCCGGTCGGTGTGAAGGACGTTGTGAATCGCAAATCAATTGCCACAGCGAAGTGGTCACTGCTTGATTGTGCAAGGTAGACCTACTACGTCACAATCCAAGAGTTCACATGATCGTCTCCGGCTCCGACCAGAGCGAGTGTCAAGTATGTACAATCGTGCACTGGTCCTCTTGCCACTCCGAACAACAGCAGCCGGCAGGTACTAGGTGGAACATGACAATGTCACGCTCCACCTGCCGGCATGTCGACAGCGTCGAGAGAACTCCAACTACACTACAGTCAACATGACCAGTGGCGGCAGTGGCAGTGGAAACGTGACAAGCGTGGCTGACGCGACTTTTGACAAGTTTTGTTTGTCACCACTTTGCTCGTTGCTATGCGTTGTCAAGAAATCATGACTAAAACCCATATGGGCACCCGCCACCCGATGGCCGAAGGCCCAAGGCCAAGCTTAGCTGTGTGCGCGCGCATTTCTCGCCATCGGCCCGCTACTGCTATGCTACATAGCCTACATAACAGTCCTGATAAAGATACCAGCCATGCGCCACTAGTAGCACTGTACCTGTCAAAACTACAATCATGTATAAACTCTCCAGCAGGCAGCAGCGCTCGACATCCAGATTATATTCAGACAAACACCGGTAAGAACGAGTTACTTCTATTTTTGCTTGTTCGTTGCTTTTCGAAGCAAACTGCAGTGTTCGTTGCCGTCCATTTTAGAGTGGTGTTCCTCGTTGCTTGCTGCCATTCCGTGTTGCCTTCCGCTTCTAGGGTCTCAGAACTACAATACTAGTATATGTCCTGTAGTTGTGCTTTCGGCCAGACGCGTGGGCAGCCTAGCTAGCCTGCACTGGAGTTGCCATTGCTCTGAACGAATTTGTGTTCTCTGTGTTTTTATTTTTTAAGTGTACCAGGACAATTTCGCCAACGATTCGCACTATACAGCGTCCTCACCGATACGACCAAAGTCAGGTCCATTCAAGCCAGATGTCTACTCATCCCGCTAGGCCGTGGCGGCAGCGACGACGGCTCTCCAGAACCCTCAGCAGACTCGACCCGTGTCGCCGAGATGGATACTGGCTCGGACACCCATCGTACCGACAGTCCGCAGTGCGCCTTCGAACTGGAGCAAGACCATCTACCTAAAGACGTCCTGACTCCTCAAGCAGGCGGCATACGATGAGATTAGCGATGCCCTCAAGCAGGAAGACGATGCCATTGACATTTTCCTCAAGCCAAAGGAGGATGACATCGTTACTGCCGCCAAGGAAGAACCTGCCGACAATACGAAACTGCCTAGCCAAGATGGAAGCGCACCAGACCTTTCTACGCTTATGACTAACTGATTCTCTTATGCGAGACATTGTCAGTATTAAACCATGGTAAAGGTGTTGAAAGCGGGATTGAGACAGGCTGTAGCAGTGAAGGCAGCAGTAAACGCAGTTCCCCTATCGCCAGCCCTAAAATCGACAACGAAGCCAGCAGATCGATTCTGAACATCACATCTCCCTACACCTAGTATACTGCACCAAGTTAGTTCTTCCTTTGCCAAGCCAACATTGGAAGATTCATCACGATCTGGTTCATCTTCTTGACTTGTACTGCACCAAGTTCTCCCGTCGCCAAGCCAGCACTGGAAGAAGCATCACGACAGGAAGCAGCCATCACTGCATTACACACGGCGTGATGCTAAAACTAGCAAAGGACTATGTAGGTACCACCATGATTGTATTGTTGTGTGTACTGTTGCGACTTCGTGGAAGTTTTGTAGGCTCACTTAGTCGAATGTGCTAACAGCAACACCCCCCCCCCCCCCGGCCCCATTGACCTTACACTCACACGCATGCACGTCTACGTCTGTCCCGACTGTAAAGAGTTTGTAGAAAGCATTCAAGTCCACAACCTTGAAGCGTTTATTGAAAGCATTCAAGTCCCCAAGCGTGAAGAAGATTGTGAGCCAGTGAGTGATATGGACGAAACCAGCTGTAGGTGTGGAAAGGGATATTTCGACTTCCCTGGAGAGCCCTGTCGATGTGAACCGCCGTACATTGCGGATGAAACAAGCTGCAGATGTGCATTGGGATACTTTGATTGGCACGGGGAGTCTTGCCGCTGTGGCGTAACCCCCCAACTACCAACATAGAGTTAGCAGCAGAGGCACGTACGGCACTACGGCGGTGCACGAGGAACTTCACCACCAGGAAAGCAAATTTATGAGATAGAGGAAATAGTAAGTGTTCTAGCAATGCGCACGCTAAACATGGTACAAACTGCTCAATAGTGCACCTATGCGGTTCGCAAACATTATAATACTAACAAGAGAGATTGGAAGCTATTTTATTATAATTACTTGAGGTGACTTTTCTAATTGTCCGCAAACTCCAACGCAGCCACTTACATCTTAATTAATTCTATTTTGAATTGTAGTGACCGTTCTTGGAGTTGAGAAGTGAAGTTTGGCTAAATATTTTAGATGTATACAATAATTATTGTCTAGTATTTCTGGTTTCCCGTTTGTCTCTTTCCCTCAAACCAGTTAATATTTCTGGTTTTGTTTGCATTTAGCCCGTCTTGTTTCAGGTCAGCTCAGTTTTGCAACCTTTTCGGTCCCTGATAGCCTGTAGGTAGCTGGTGAAACCACTCATTTGCACATGATGTACATCCGTACTGTCAGGCGTGCTCAGTCACAACCATGCACATACAGTAGAGGAACTGTATGTTCTCGGCTTTTGTCCGTCACAACATTTACAACATTTACATGGATGTAATAGGCATCTTGTTTTGGCCTTACGAGAAGAAATGCAATAATGGACAAGTTTGTTGGCAAGCAGAAATATGGGATCACAAAGCAGATTAGTTGTTATGAAACAATCACACTTCAGAGAAGAAACGGAAAGAAATAATTATAATTGGGAACAGAATCATGCTGAAAACCGAAGTAAAAATGCAACCACAATTCCACAATCTCCACTTCGACGCGATGATTGCCGCTGGCATCATTTGGTTATTTTCTTGATGTCGTGAGTGCTGCAAACATTCATACAAACATTCATACAAAGCTGGGAGTTACGTAATCAACACCGCCCCAATGGGGATTTGGATGCAAAATATCCTATAAAATGTCCTGGATGCAAGTTTCCTATGGCTATAGTTAAACCTGGGTCAGGTGACCAGCCCATGGTGCGAGCAAAAGTGGTCATTTTTAACACAAGGTTCCATACATTCCCAGCATGCCAATCATGCACATTCTTCCATACTCAAATTGACAGGTGTTGGGGGACACTCAGTTCATGCAGACAAAGTACCCATGAGTTTCACACCTCACTCAAGTGCATGCAGCACAGTCTACCATGGTCTACATACACTGTCACTTCCTTTGACTGCACGCACTCGCTTCCAAGCGCATTTCAACCCTGTTGCAGCCAGGCTTACCAGCCAGGATAGCACTTTTGGTCGCTATATGCAGGTCATATTTGGCACTTGGTACACTAAAACTTGTTGGGTCGCGCGCAACACAGGTGGTCGCTGTTTCCGGTGCAGTTTCTATGCAGAACTGTTGGTACAGTGAAACCTGTCTAAGGCGACCCCTCAAAAGACGAGAAAAAGTGGTCGCCGTGGCCAGGTGGTCTTCTTATCCAGGTTCAGTGGGTCACGTGACCATATCCACATGTGATACATCATTTTGATCAGTGCATCACAGTGCACACACCTATGCTACTCTAGCACGACTCATGTGCCTGGGGTCCTCAGACCTGTCAAATGTCGTGCATGCACCATGTACATCTACACTTCCTGCACTGATTTGTAGATCTACCATGCCTGGTGCACCATGCAATGCATACATTTACATGACTAGCACTGTGCAACGCAGTTACGGGTGGGTGGTCGCCGGTCACGTTGAGCGAGTGGTCGCCTTATCTGAGGTGTTTTGAACGTGAATGCGTCCGTGACAAGGAAAAGTGGTCGCCATGGTCGAGTGGTCACCATTACAGGTTTTATTGTACATGGAAAATGGTGGTCACTAATATCAAAAAAACTGAGAAAGAAAATCTTTCTTCTTCTTGCTTTTTAATGTCAAGCCGGAAACAAGCCATCAGAAACTGATTGGCACGTGCAACATCAGATTTCCTAGATTTTTGGAGGTGTAACGCTGGCTCCAAGACCTGCAAGTTTTTGAAACTGGTCCCTGATGATAAAAGAGACCAGACCAGGCCGGCGGCAATGCAGTGGTTTGCTGACTGACAGTTTTTGCAGGAAGCCGATTCAGAAATGACCTTGAAGAGGCCAATTCTCGTAATTTCCTCAGGATCACCAACGTCATGAAGTATTTTCAGAGGAGAAGAAAACCACGATTCTTTGTAGTTAAGGTCTGGTCAGCTGTTTGATGTTTTCACTTCTTTTGTGCGTGTAAGTGTAAGTCTTATTGGTGTGATCCACTGGTTTGTTGCCTTACATTCCGACTATGGCCATAGTTCAGAGCTTTTTCTTTCATTTCATTCTGTGGGATGTCATACAAATTTTAAAGATATAACTGCTGGTGATGCGACGTACAGTCGGTTTGGCTTCCACCGAGTTCCACCGCTCCAGTATGTCGTGTCCATTCCCCGGCATCATCACGTCGAATGCAGGGACGTCAGACACCCTAAAGTTACTCAGTACAGTATGTATAATTTCAAAATGTTCAGCAGGGAAGGTCCAAGGACACTCTCAGTGACTAAAGATGCACCTCCTAGCTGGTTGAATGTACCGAAATAACGTAACGTCGTTACCTTCCGAGGCCCCATTTTCTTTTTTTTCTTTTTTTTGATTGATTTTAGTTTGTTGCCTCTCAACAGCACAATGTACAACTTCAAAGAGGGTCGAACAGGAAGCGGAATAACTGAGGGTTATCAGAAACGAACAGGAAACAAAATAACCAGTGGGACTGGAATGTGAACCCGAAAAAAAGTAAAGTTAGCCGGATTGGCGGCCGCATCACCCGACGTGTTGAGGAACACATCGAGCAAAGACGTTCGCATCACCCGACGTGTTGAGGAACACATCGAGCAAAGACGTTCACATCACCCGACGTGTTGAGGAACACATCGAGCAAAGACGTTCACATCACCCGACGTGTTGAGGAACACATCAAGCAAAGACGTTCACATCACCCGACGTGTTGAGGAACACATCGAGCAAAGACGTTCGCATTACATCGGCGGGCCACCACTTCGCCCATTATATCCTAGTGCAGGGGGAGAGGGGATAGGTTTCTCAAAACATGCGGGCGTGTAACAGCCCTATAACCCCATAAACCGCATCCTTGCTACCCCCATGTGAACCTAAGGCTAAGCTAAACCATAGTAACCAGGATCCCAATCCAAAATTAATTTGGTCAAAGGGCTTGGCACCATAGCCATGAAACATGGCGGAGCGAACTTCTACAAAATTATAATAATATTAGTCTGCTGGTCCACATGCAGTATTACCCGTAATGGGAAGATCATCGGACTCACCTCATTTCCTTTTTTCGATAAGACAGCGCTAGCAGGAACGGGCTGCATCCCATCCCCACACATCCATGCTCGATCGATCAGTTTGGCAGACCCTGGTAAGCTGTTGCCTGTTGGGACACACGTCGGCATCGATCTCCTATGCTTCGAAATGCCGATGCCCGAAGCCAGTACAGCCATGACTATCGTCGAGTATCGTTGTCCGTCGAACTGTTCCGTTACTCCGTCATAATCGGCATTGACTTGGCTTCAGTGAACCGTAATGATCAGCTGTGCCGCTGTTTCTGCGGGCCAGCAACGTTATTTTCAAGTGGCAAGTAGATCTACTGTACATCTAGAATTTGACACGCAGCGTGGCCGGATGATGAGTCTGTGAAGTCTGAAGAGCTGGGAACAAGCACCTCTAGGCTCTACCAGTATTCTACAAAATTATAGTCTGGACACTGATTTCTGGGTGCCGAGGGCGAGGACACTGCGACAAGCACAGCGCAACGGTCGACACGGGTTTTGACCTGTGCTGGAATGATAGATAGAAAGCTACATGACTACTACCGGTACAGTGACTGAGTGACTACTGAGTCTGTAACTGTATGGATTCCCAGGAAACAGTCGCACTGCACGGAATTATTTTGCTACAAGAACGCCCTTTGAAAGTTCTTCTTCTTCTCCTTGCAAATCAAGAGTAAAGAGTCTAGCGTTATTCTACCGGCCAAGCGCACTGCACAAGGGTCCGCAGAAACATCAAGATAACCATCAGAGAAAATACCGTTAGAGTGCAAGCCTTCGAACGATAATAAGAAGCTGGCTGACATTGCAAGGCAGCCAGTTTCACTCACAAGTATTAGTTCACAACGAATGTGACAGTTGGACACATCCTCGAGTCGTAAATCTGGGAACTAAGTAAGTAGTTTTTTGTACTTACAATAAGTTACATTGTCACTTTCAACGTAGACCTACGAAGTACCACTACTACTACTCTAACTTTCTAAGTCACAGTAAGCATGGTAAGTGTAGAATCTACCGCTAAGTCTAAGACCCAGACTTGGACTAGTATTATTACCACTGACTTACTGAGTCTGTACTCGGCCTACACTAGTCAGACTAGACTGGTACATGGTGCACTCACTGTCTGACTCTTTTTACAGTTACCATGGTTACACTGGACTGGGCAAGCCTGGTGAGGTACTTTTCCAGTGTGATTCTTGACCCCAAAAACAAAGCTGCTCAGAAGTGTTGGTGTGGATTAGTGATTGACACCATCAGGTGGTCACACACGCATACATGTATGACTATTATTTTGATCATGACTACAACAATGTAGCTAACGTTAGTGAAGAGGCGCTGCAATTTTTTCATACCAACAGTCCTTTTTCTGCACCTAAGCCTTGTCCTCACCCACTTGGTGAGGAGAGCCCATGACATAATCTTGACATTGCACACTCGGAGGGAGTTGCGGTTGCTCGTGACAGTGCTCAGCACAACAAGTTGCAGAGCCGAGCAATAATAGTTAGCAATAATAGTTAGTTGCTGTTGCTGTCTGATCGGATCCATTAAGATCATGAAACTCACAGAGTTACAACACTCTGCAGAAACACTTTTTGATTCAAGCGTGTAATTTTGACATTGCGGGATCCGGCATTATGCTGGGCAATGCTCTGCTCCGGCAGCCATTCGAGGTCGCGCAGCTAAGGCACAACAATGGCAGCCCTATCTCTAAGTGCATGGACAGTCCTGCTCAATGAAATCCAGTCGCGTCACTCCAAGTAATAGTTTGCGCCTTGCACCGTTTCGCAGCCCAGTGTTCCCAGGTCTAGGGCTGCGCAACGCCCGGCGTGTACTTGAGTGACGCTGTGACTGGATTTCATTGAGCAACACTGTACATGTACAAGGACATGTACGTGCAGTACACATGCAGTACACATGCAGTACACATGCAGTACACATGGTACACATGGTACAAGTGCAGTACGCATGCAGTACACATGGTACAAGGCGTAGCTGCCAGTGATGAAAGTGGGGCCTGGCCGAACACCATAATGCTGTGGTCATGGCTGCACCCATTGACTAAATGATATTCCCCTTGAACCTGTAAGGCTCTGCACGCCTCCATTAGGCAAACACCAGCAATGGAGTCTGCTTTTCAAAGAACACGACCCCCCCCCCCCCCACCACCACCACCACCACCACCACCATGGTGTGTGTGTGTGTGTGTGTGTGTGTGTGTGTGTGTGTGTGTGTGTGTGTGTGTGTGTGTGTGTGTGTGTGTGTGTGTGTGTGTGTGACGGTATGAACACAACACACGCATGCAGCCGGTATGGTGTGGCGGTAGTACCTGGGCTACTGCATGGCTAGAGTGAAAAGAAATACAGCGGGAGATTCCACAGAGAAAAGTAGGCTCAGAAATGTGTCCAACACAGCACTATTCATACTGAGAACAGAAAGGCGACAAAACAAGCTATCCGCTAAGACCAGTCATCAAACTAGCTAAGACGACGTAGTGGCATGTGCTACCAACCTGACCGCATGCGAGAGACATGCACTGTGCAGTAGATGGGTGAAATGCAAATAAGTACTGACAGGATTGGTCTGTGTGCGGTTGCTATGGCGATGCTAGGGCTTATCTGAGCAGTGTGCAGGCGCTGCGGTCGCTGGCAGCAAAGTTACGGTACTCATCCAGAAAGAGGCCGTTGAGCCTGCGGATGCATGTGAAATAGGAGGCCAGGTTGTTGAATTGGACGATCTCCGGGCATTCGTCTGGAGGAACACGCGGGGAGACGGGGAGAAAGGTGCAGCACAGTGATCATGCCGGTAACGTAGAGCTATGTAGAATCAGTGCACAATGCAATGCAATGCAATGTAAGCAGCTGCAGCAGATGATTGCTAAGTACATGGAGTTAGATGCACTTTTTGGGCTTCTGTTAAACTGAGCCAAAACCGTTAGATTACCGGGCAACGAATTTCCTTGGTGATGTGCTCACACCTTGGCCAACCAATTACCTTGGCCACGTGGCATGCACATCAGACAACTCTGTTGGCGTTGCAAGGACAAGTTGAGACGCGAGAGTACCAATTTTGAAGCCCGGCTTAATACCGTATCCCAGCGTACTGGTGGCCCCAATTGGGCCAGAACAGAAGCTGGACGACTTCTAAACATGCATAGCCTCCTTGTGGCACGTCATAGATGTGCAGCATATCGCAAAGACTCGGTCAGATCAATCGTACACAACATCCCGAAGCTACACAATCAAAGTGAGTAACCTGTTGTTTCTCCAAGTCAAGGCATCGGATCATGCTTCATGCTATGCAACCTCCTCCCCTTCCCTACCTTGCCCTGGTCTGATGATTAAACTGTAATTTTAAAATGAGCACACACAAGCACGAGCATGACTTTCCCAAGAAAAGAAAACAGTACTTACCCGGAGGTGGGCCTGTCGTTGGAGGTGGGCCTGTCGTTGGAGGTGGGCCTGTCGTTGGAGGTGGGCCTGTTGTTGGTAGTGGGCCTGTTGTTGGAGTACTCGTTTCGGCCGGAGGTGCCGTCGGGCTAGCTGTGGTTGGTGCGCTGCTTTCAGGGGACACGACTGGACCGGACGTCAGTGGTTGAGCCGTGGTGACGGGGACAGTAGCAGATGTTGCACCTGTTGCTGCCAGACACTGCAGCTGAGTTGTGAATCCTGTGGCACATTCACAACACAGATTGCTGGTTTACCACACTGATTCCGGGCTGATGCAAAAAAAACCCAATACGTTTCCGAAGCCCAAACAATGCCATCTCAGAATACATACTAAGTCTTATGATACAAGTTGAAAATGGCCCAGTACACAAACTATAAGTATAATCATACCTCTCGGTTATCCGGACCCCGAAGTTACGGGCACTTCGGTTTACCGGGCACCCTTTGGGCCAAATTCAATGGAAATATTACTACTCTTTTGTCACTTTTTTTGTGGAAATAGTGACGTCGTATGTCATATCTATAGCCGTTATCCATCAAAATGTATGCGATTCGGAGTTCCGGACATCTCGAAGTTATGGGCAGTGCTTGGTCCCGGACTGCCCAGATAAACGAGGTATGAGTGTACATGCTGGCTTCCACATGGTGGTACAGACAATTGACACTTTCATACGAGTATGAGGTGAGCATAAACATTTTTATGAACACCCACGTGTTTCCTGGTTTTGAAGATTCATAAGAACTCTGCAGAAGGCCTCGCACATACATGTACAAATGCATCTCCTTCATCCATTGGCAGCTCTGCCCACAGTGCCATATTGTACTGCACTCATCGCAGAACGTGGATGCTCAATTACTCTATGCAGGCCAACGCTGCATCAGCAGATCACACACATGATGTGTGTAGCTAGGAAGCAGGGGTGAGCCTTAACCATATGAGATATGACCCAACTCAATACTGCAACCTCATAGCATTACCTTCACAATATGGATCAGTTGGTGTTGAGCAATTAAAACCTGAACATTGAACCCGCAGAACAGGGCAGAGCAGGGCAGAACAGGGCAGAGCAGGGCAGAACAGGGCAGAACAGGGCAGAACAGGGCAGAACAGGGCAGAACAGGGCAGAACAGGGCAGAGCAGGGCAGAACAGGGCAGAACAGGGCAGAACAGGGCAGAACAGGGCAGAACAGGGCAGAGCAGGGCAGAGCAGCATATTGTTTTGAACATACATTACAGTCATCACTTCAACATGCATTACTTGGACATACCGGTACCAATAGCAACATGCATTACTTGGACATACCGGTACCAATAGCAACATGCATTACTTGGACATACCGGTACCAATAGCAACATGCATTACTTGGACATACCGGTACCAATAGCAACATGCACTACTTGGACATACCGGTACCAATAGCAAAATGCACTACTTGGACATACCGGTACCAATAGCAACATGCACTACTTGGACATACCGGTACCAATAGCAACATGCACTACTTGGACATACCGGTACCAATAGCAACATGCATTACTTGGACATACCAGTACCAATAGCAACACCTAGATACTATAAAAGGTCATACGTGTAGATGTACATTCAATGGTATCATGTATCCAAGTCTCGATTTTGTAGTCCAAACAATCCAATACGAATCGAAAGCCCACCGTGGCTGCACCTATACTATGCCCAGTAGCTAAATTACACAGTAGTCGACTTCCACTGTCCACTGTCCACTGGAAGGGGGGGGGGCACTGTCCACTGTCCACTGGAAGGGGGGGGGGGGCACTGGGTGGAGCTCTCTAAGACAGAAGTGAGGATCGTCGATTGCAACTCCGCGTTTGATTGAGCAATCATTAGTCAACGTGAAGCTCTGAGTTGCAACTGACAATCCTGACTTCTGTGTTAGCCCAAAATTAATAACGTTATTAGGTAGCAGCAGCAAGATCTTTCCCAGATTGGTACGTAGAAAATGGAAGTTCGAAGGATGGACAGCATATTATAGCAATCAGAAGAATTAGCAAGGAGGACATTGTACGTAGGAAAAAAACAAAATATAAGAACGCATGTATTGTTGTTGCTACGTACAATGTCCGCCTTGCTAATTCTTCTGATTGCTATAATAAAGATCATGAGCATCTCCTTGCCGCCTATGCGTACAGCATATTGCATGTACAAGTACTTGCGTATTTCTACCCGCAAAATGAAACTGTGGCCGGTTCTGGTCAGCCACTGAAAACGACTTGAAACAGTACATTTCCACAGTGCATACACCCATCCTCAAGTCCTGATCCACTCTGCACTGAAGCACCCCTCCCCAGCACAATGCACAATCTGTACTGAAGCACCCCTCCCCAGCACAATGCACAATCTGCACTGAAGCACCCCTCCCCAGCACAATGCACAGTGTACTGCACATTGCAATGCACGGTGTATTGCATGCGCTGTTGCAATGTTCTAACGCTAGCTCTTTTGTTCCCGTCCTGATGCCCGCGGTGTATTGTGGTGTGCTCACCTGGATGGGAAAGGCACGTGGTACGATTTGGCTGTCTGCTGGTGATGAATCCGCAGAATGGATCTCCAAGTTCATCGCCATTGGTATATCCATCATCATCGCTGTCTGCCATGCACACGGCGGTGGTGTACGAGCCCAAGAATCTTGGAACATTGAAGGCCATTCCGAAGGCATTACCCCCATCGGATGGTGGGCCACCACACTGGTTGGCATGTCCGATAGACTGGCACACCCTACAAGTACACACGGAAAATCAGTATAAATGTCAAAGCACATGTTCGAACATGACGGTTGTTCAACTCCCCAACTTGATGACTGTGGAGGTGATGCCCAAAGCTATGTCAAAGGTGTGTGACGTCACAAAATGAAGAAGTTCATCTGGCATAGCCAAGGTCCGTAACCCTGTATTGCATGTGCACACGTGTGTGTGTGTGTGTGTGTGTGTGTGTGTGTGTATGTGTGTGTGTGTGTGTGTGTGTGTGTGTGTGTGTATGTACTTCACAAAGTATATATGTGTGTGTATATATGTGTGTGCGTGTGTGTGTGTGTGTGTGTGTGTGTGTGTGTGTGTCAGTGTCTGCTCCAGCGCCGGGTGAGCCGGGTAATCCACCCGGTTGGGCGGCGCTTGGACCCGGTTGAAAATATAGTACCGGGTCACCTGTGACCGGGTTGGTACTTTACACTTTCGAACTTTGAAAGGCTGACCACATGGCTTGTATGTGTCAGATACTTCTTCTTCTTTCGTAATTTTCTAATTCCTGCCCTCTCTTTTCTAAATGCGGCTTATCCATTCGCCTTTATATCATTGGACCTAGTTCCCGTTTATTGTCCGAATTAAAATAAACCAACCAACCAGTTAAAGCATGTGCCTCGGCTGGTGAGACAGCGCCAGGTACATGTGTACCCGGCTACGACCCGGTTGAAATGGTTGCGCCAGGTACACGTGTACCCGGCTGTCCTACAATCCTAGAGCAGACACTGTGTGTGTGTGTGTGTGTGTGTGTGTGTGTGTGTGTGTGTGTGTGTGTGTGTGTGTGTGTGTGTGTGTGTGTGTGTGTGTGTGTGTGTGTGTGTGTGTGTGTGTGTGTGTGTGTGTGGTGTACACGTTTGTTTGTGAGGGGGGGGGGGGGCAGCATTTGCACCTACCACATTATGGAAATGATCACGAATGAAAGGGTGCATGCATACCATGTGTTACTGAGTGCCCGGGCCATGCCCATGGTGCTTGTACAAGACTGACTATGACCAGGTACCCTGACTATGATCAGGTGCCCTGACTGTGATCAGGTGCCCTGACTGTGATCAGGTGCCCTGACTGTGATCAGGTGCCCTGACTGTGATCAGGTGCCCTGACTGTGATCAGGTGCCCTGACTGTGATCAGGTGCCTCGACTGGTCAATTCAGTCATCCTCCAGCTACTCCCACCTGGATATCAAAGCTCGATTATCTGAAGCCCGGAAATCCGAATACAGTCAACTTCGTTTATAACGGCATTCGGCGGGGCATCAAAAAAGTGTCCTTATTCGCGAAGTGTCGTTATACCCGAAGTCTCATTATATGTATTACAGTTGGATGGAACTTTGCTCTGGGCATGGACATTCTGTCGTTACCGGTATACAGTCAACTTCGTTTATAACGGCATTCGGCGGGGCATCAAAAAAGTGTCCTTATTCGCGAAGTGTCGTTATACCCGAAGTCTCATTATATGTATTACAGTTGGATGGAACTTTGCTCTGGGCATGGACATTCTGTCGTTACCGGTATTCGCGAATTGTAGTTATATCCGCAGTCGTTATATCCGCAGTCGTTATATCCGCAGTCGTTGTTAGCCAAGTTGACTGTACATGCCTTCCCTCGTTAGTAGAGTAGCCTTTGGGCGGTTAAATGATGTTAACTTATAGCGAGTCTTATCTTGTAAACAGGACTTGCAACTGAAGATGCGAAAAGCTCTGATTCGCACTCATACAGGGTACCCTCATCACGCCACGGGTGGGTTGGAGGGGGGGTAACCGGACTTAAAGGGGAAGTTAAGGCTAAAATCAAAATTTCACCAGTTGTAGTCTTCGGGGTGCTGAGTCGAATGGTCTTGGTCCGAGGAAGCTGAGACGCTCCCTTCCTACTTTAATCCCAATCGAACTCGCGCACTTCCACCGAAACTGGGTGAATGCGCCCTACTAGATGGGGATTTGTATGCAAAATGTCACTAAAAGCGCCATGTCGTTCTTATACAAGCACGGATGACCGCGATTGGCCCAAATGCTGTAGTCTTTTGGACGCTGAGTGGACTGGTTTTGGTCCGAGAATGCTGCGATGCAGCGTTCCTCCTTTATTCCCAATCGAACATGGTTGAAAAAGCGGTCACTTGCTCCTGCGTGCCCAAGTCACCTGGTCACAGCGCCAGCAGGCGACAACTTTCACACCCGAAGGTTCAACTCGAGTTCAACTCGAGTGACAGGACTGCACCCAAAAAAGGTCAAACACTGGGCTGTAAGTTGTACCCTGCAGGCACGGTGACCAGGTGACTGGTGTACGCAGGAGCACGTGACCGCTTGTTTAAGCATGTTCGATTGGGGATAAGGGCCGAACGCTGCATTGCAGCCTTTTCGGACCAAAACCAGTCGACTCAGCGTCCACAAGACTACAACATATGGGCCAATCGCGGTCATCCGTGCTTTTATAAGAACGAAATGGCGCTTTTAGTGACATTTTGCATACAAATCCCCATCTAGTAGGGCGCAGTCACCCAGTTTCGGTGGAAGTGCGCGAGTTCGATTGGGATTAAAGGAGGCAGGGAGCGTCTCAGCTTCCTCGGACCAAGACCATTCGACTCAGCACCCCGAAGACTACAACTTGTGAAATTTTGATTTTAGCCTTAACTTCCCCTTTAATAATAATGGAAGGCCTGTGTACAGTGCAGAAAGTACACAATCATCAGATCATTGCGGTGAAAAAATGCATGCATCACGTTATAACGTACCCGTCGTGCACATGGTTCAAAGTTCAAACAATAGAATACCGGTATGGACCAGCCGAAACAATTCACTTGACACTAGACTCTACAATGTAGATCTACATCATGTAATTTGGACTTACAAGCCAGGTTGTGTCACAGGAACATTGTTGATGGCAATTCCTTGGTTGATAGGCGCCGGAATGCGGCTAGTACCTCGTCCCACATTCGGAATGTCATCTTGGTAATGTTCAAACGCCCTGCTCATCGCCAGAGTGGCCAGGAAGCAGGCGAGCAGCAGCAATAGTGTCTGCATGTTTCCTCCTCGACAATGTGACGGCGTGCAGTATGATTATGCGAGCCTTCTCCAGTTCGACTCACCGGCAACTACTCACTTGCCCTTCGGGGGATTATCGCCACAACCGCGTGCACTGCATGCATGCAACACGCTCAGTCACGGTCCGCTCACAACCTTCTCCGCGATCCGGCCCGTCACTTGTCTACCGAGCACTGGAACCAGTGCAACGAAACACGATGTACTAGTAGTAATCCAAGCTCATCACGACACGAAGTTTGTGCGGCACTGGCCAGTTGATGGTTAGGCGGCAGAGCCTGGGCATGGGATACTCCAACAAAGTGGAACCCGCGACCGTGACTGGCTGACTGGTCTGTTCGGATACATACCGGTAGTGGAGGGCGGCTGCCGCTGGATAGCTCGGACCCTCAGGACCTTTCCCCACCTGTTACAGGTTCTGGTTGGAACCATGCCAAGGCAAGATAAGATTTCCAATCCAAGTCTTTGGTCTTGATTCGACCATTGAAGTGGTAAGTGGAACATGTCAACACTTGAACAGTCAGCTAGCTACATGTAGATCGTCAGACAACTTGAACTAATTTTTTTAATGCATTACTATTTGAAGTATTTCCCCACTGACTAGTCGATGTAGATCTACAACACATACACCATGTACACACAGCTTAGCTGTAACGTGGCACGTGACTGACATACATACAATCATGTACATGTAGGTCTACATGACTAGTATAAATGAAAAAAGTTTAAAAAACACCACGCTCAAACTTACTTTTACTTTTTTAGAGCCTCCTTGCAAGCTTGGGCAACACGACTCCTACATACACATTGTAGATCTACTGTACATAACAAGGCCAGTCGAGGCAGCTCAAAGCAGAGTGCTCCATGCTAAATGTGCAGAGCAGTACACAAAGCAATGGAGGAAAACGGCTGGGACGTTCTTATCTTTGAGCAACTAACTTAAACTTGGCTGCGTTCTTATACAGTATTTTAAAACGTATATCACGTTCTTAGAAACTGTACTACTGGGTCGTATACGCGCGTATGCGCACACTACTGCATACATATCAGGGTTCTAGGCAGGTCAAAATGGTAGGGGCCCGGTATGGGAAACAGTTACCAAAAGAGTAGGGGAACACCACTTTTTAACAGGGGGTGGGGGGGGGGTGCTCGATCAGAGTAGGAGGGCACTGCACCTCCCCGCCCCTCCCCTCCTTTCGCTAGAACCCTGCATATATGTATGCACAAATTTCTGCCAGAATACAAACACCAACGTTCATACATTCATAGCCGCATGCAGGAAGCTGTGTATACTTGTATTATGTACTAGTAGTATAACATCATCATTGTTGCACTTGCATGTACAATAACCATGATATGGCACATTGTGTTTCTGGTGTCAGCAGTGCATGCCTCACTGGATATTCATGTGCCCCCCCCCCCCCCCCGTACCATGCTCTTCAAGACAAAAGACAAAATGTCATATTCCAATTAGTTCTGCCTGGTAGTTCTGGGGTAAAAGCCCAAGGGCGATTTTGGTCTGATTTTTGTGCAAAAAGTGCAACACTTAAACCCCTGAAAGCATTATAGTCCTGCTCAATGAAATCCAGTGGCATAACTCAAGTACTAGTAGGCGCCTTGCACCATTTCACAGCCCAGTTTTTGCAGGTCTAGGGCTCAGCAACCGGCCCAGCGTGCACTTGAATGACAAAACTGGATTTCATTGAGCAACACCGTAGTGTGAGTGTGTGTGCCTGTGCGAAAGGATGGTGCAATTTATCACGTATGGTGTAGTTTCGTTCCACTTTGTGTTGCCTGATATAGGTCCACCTCACTTGTTCTTCTCCTCAATCCTGATGATGGCTCCTGGCTGAAAATTTGATTGAGATATTAATTTGCAGCGAAGAGACCACCTGATTTGAAGAAGATGGTGTGTAAGGTTTTCAACACTGTAGTATAATAGTATAATGTAACACTGTAGTATAATGTAACACTGTAGTATAATGTAACACTGTAGTATAATGTAACACTGTAGTATAATGTAACACTGTAGTATAATGTAACACTGTAGTATAATGTAACACTGTAGTGTAATGGGACAAAGGAGACGTGACAGTATCATGAATTCATTGGAGATGTTGGTGAGTAGTCAGCTGCTGCTGAGCTGAACTAATACTCCCCCTCTCCCCCTCTCCCCTGGACATGGCAGTAGGAGTGTGGGCCAGACAGTCGAGGTACATGTACATGTACAGTCGAACCTCTTTAGGACGAACACCAAGGGACCGGCGGTATTTGTTTGCAATAACGGGAGTTCTTCTTATCCATATGTCTTACCCAGTGAATACACAGTGATGAATCCAATAGCGCTTGAATTCGAGTTCTTCTCAAGCGAAAGTTTGTCTTATCAGTGTTCTTCTTAACAAGGTTTCACTGTACATGTACATGAGGCTCCCCGATGCTGCCAAATAGGCAGTTCCTGAGTGATGTCTGATACATGTACATGCACATGTAACTAAGATGCCTTACGTCGGAACAACGAACCGCAGCACAATCTGAGCTAAGTCATCGATACCTCTCTCTGAAGATTTCTTTTGTACAAAAACAACAGTTTTTCGTTTTTTTTGAAGCCCACATTGCATTAATATTATTATATAGTTAGCATCAGTAGCACAACACAATCATATACGGTACTTATGACCGCAGCTACGGTGGTTGCTAGTGATGGATTGTGATGCCTACTGGCACAACCTAATGTCAAATGGCCCATGGCATTAGTCCGCACATCCCGGCATCATGTACCCATTGTGCCTGGCTGCAAGTTGGTTTATCTCCTAGGTAAACATGGCTGGAAAATACCTCTAAAAACCCGGCTAATACAACTAGTAGCCTTCATGATCTAAGTTGAAGCCTGCCCGGCTGGCGTCTCTCTTTCTCTCTCACAAAACCCGTCCCCTCAGACTGCGCTGCATGTGCCGCTGAAGGGTTTCGGATGGTAGTGGCCACAATGAGGTTTTCAGGGACAAAGGGATACTCTTCTTCCGAGCAGTTAGTCATCGGAGCATGGATGAGATGCATGGTGGCGATGGGCTACATAAGACACATTCAAGTCCTACAAGCATTCCACACTACAATGTACATGTACATCATGCAGCAGGAAAAAGGAGGCAAGTATACTAAATGTAGAAAGGAAAAGGACATATGGGTACGAGTTAAGAGTAACTCTCCATCACTGTAACTGGATACTATTATATAGTCAGAAAGTGCAATAACTAGGCACAAAACTGACAGGAGTACTGAGACATTCGACGTCCTGACACCTAGCTTCAACACATCTCCGTAGCGCTAAACCAACAGCCTTCCAACTTGGACGGTTCAAGGTTATGGAAAGACCAAAGAGGGGAAGGCAAGCGCAACGAAAACGAGCAAAAGCTACAGTCCCAACGGAACAAAGAATGTCGATTGTTACTGGACGATGACGAGACCAGTACGATATTTGACAAAGCGGTCTAAATACAATTCGAAGCAGCAAAGCAGCACACCACCCAACTTGGGTGGGTCATAAATATCAAAGATAAGTAAAGAAAGGGGAAGCTTTGCGAAAACGAATTGTACAAGCCGAAAGCCAAACTCCTACAGTAATCCTCATGCATGACATTGTGATGGACTAGTTGACTACAAAACAAGTTGTTTCACAAGACGTACGTTTCGCCGTATGGTTCGTGACGGCTCATCAGGTGTGCATCGGTTAGCGCTACGGAGATGCGTTGAAGCTAGGTGTCAGGACGTCGAATGTCTCAGTACTCCTGTCAGTTTTGTGCCTAGTTAAAATCACATACATTGATGCCAGGGTAGCTAGAGATAAGTAGTCTGTGGGGAGTGGAGGGAGTGGAGGTAGTGGGTGGGGGTGGGGGGCTAGGGAAGAGGCAGTGATGAGGGGATAGATAGAGTAGATAGAGTATTCTGTTGGAAAAGAGTAGATAAGGTGATGAGTTGATAATTAGCAAACTGTGTTAGGGTTGAAACTACAAAAGCGAGGCCCAGGGTCCAGCGTGGGTGTACAGTCAACTTTGCGTATAACGACACTCGGCTGGGCACCAGAAAAGTGTCCTTATTCGCGAAGTGTCGTTATACCCGAAGTCTCATTATATGTGTAGTATCCCTGCCCGACCAATACGGAAGTAGTACGGAACTAATACGGAGCATTGCCTGATGTATATTTAGTGTATCTCCGTATGTAAGAGTACGGCGTCTGCTGCATTAAAGCGGCTGCGCATTTCTGTTTTAGGCCGAGTAAAAAAATTACTAGATGATCGTCCTTTTTTTTGGAAAAATCGGGGAGGGCGGGAGGATTTTATTTTTATTTTTTTACTTTTTACCCTCTCATGCACACAGTGTACACAACAACATCAAGGTTTTTTTCTCTTTTTTTCTTTTTTTTTCTTTTTTTCTTTTTCTTTCTTCAGCAGATCGATACTGACGTTGTGATATACTAGTAGTATGTGGTCCATATAGTAAAACTCACGATTTAAAAAATAAAATATTTCTTGGGGCGCTGACAAAAACTGGGGCGGACGGGGACGATCATCTAGCTTTTTTTTTTACTTGGCCTTAATTAGATTAGATTAGATAGCAACGAAAGCTAACTCGAAGAAGAAGTAGTCAACCTCTAGGTGAGCACCGGAGAGAAAGTTATTTATTTTGCCGCTTCTTCTTTCACTAATAATTATATCTCAGGTGTGTACCTGAGAGAAGTAGAATAAAACTAATTCTTGTTGATTTCACCGCGCCTACCACTCGGCTACCTGTTACATTGGTGGCAGCGGTGTGTTTTTGTAAAATAAAACAACGTGATTCGATCCCAGACCCCCATGGCTCAACCCGCTGCAGCTCCGTGCGACGAATCAAGATGAGAATCATGTTTCTTGCTTTCCTGGGACTGGCCCTGCTTATTAGCTTGCAGCACAGTCGGGGTGCTAGCGTGGATCACCCGTCTCTCCGCACGGCACTCACTGGAGACTCCGATGGCGATTCCAAGCGACCCGCTACCTACATGTATACTACCGGTTGTGATGGCGAAACTGATGAGGATGACGACATGCAGGCTGCTGACCAAGACAAGGAGGGTATTCCCCAAAACCGGCAGCGTTTGATTTTAGCCCGCACGCAGTTGGCAGACGGCCGAACCCTGAGTGACTACAACATTCAGCAGGAGTCCACTA